CGTCGAATTTCGATTGAAACGATTTATAACAAAAAAAAAAAGGCAACGCAACTTTTTTGGACTCTCACTTTTATTTGGATTTTAAGTAAGAATATTGAGGAATTTAGGTATTGTCCAAAAAATTACGGGAAGGGAGAAATTGCATGTAACTGTATTTGAGAAAGATAAAACTGGTCAAAAGATGCTGATCAGGCAGCTTAACAATAAATGGTATAAATTTTGAATACAGTGTGCCGCCAATGGAATCTGCGGTGGTATGCCGTACTGCTCACCGCCACTGATGAGTCCACCGGTTTGTTCATGCCCGCCGGCCTATGGATGTGGTCAATATGGATGTTATAGACTTCGGGCTCGAGGATCCAAAAATTTTCAGCCTTACAGAAGTCGTGGCGAAGATGTACCTACAGCTCACGCTCTTCACGACTTCAGGTTACACTTTTTTTATCGCGGTTCAGTTCTGTCAGGTTGGAATGAAGAATGTTGCGATTAAGAACTGTCGACAAAATAACTATTTTATCTGCTCATAGTTATTGGCATCCACAAAGATATTGTCTGCTTACTGCTTGTTTATTTCAATAATTCAAAAAACTGCAGTAAGTCTTTGTTTTTTAATTTCATAATCTTGAAGTTTTTATTTTTTTATAGACAAGAAGAAGCCTTGGAAAAAGTCCGGACGAAACCGTTGGAGGAACTAGACGAGTACGATATTCTGGCTGCAGCATCGCCATCAGTTGCGGAACTTCGCAGGAATCCAAACAGAAGAGTGGTAAGTTTGAGATATCCAGTTTTGTAGAGATCTCAATTTTCTTTTTTATATTGAGACTTAGATAAACAGCTTTCTAAATAGTTTTGGATGATTGATGTATGCATTGTATGGTTCTGAATGAGTTGTAAAAATAGCACTCCTTTTGGCTGTTATTATCTCAGAGAGAAGGTAATTTTAGAATCCAAATGAAGCCTTCTATGAATGCTGTTTAGACCGACAACTTCCAGATGCATGTTTAAGGAAGTGCAACTTTAATTCATATACTAAAGACACGGTATCAGGATAATCTTTCTTTTTTTTGTTTGTTGCTTTGACACAGCCATTTATGAGCGATAATTGAGACATTGAATGTACGGAGAGGCATAACTGAAAGATGAGTAAGCAAAAAAATTGAAGAAAAAATCCGGTTTATTGTTGAAAATGATAGTTGAATTTTCCGTTTCGCTTCCAGCTTACTAAAAATATGAAAAGCTATTAAACAGCTTTCAAATAGAAAACTCATCATTATTTATTGGTTTCAATTTTACGATATTTACGACGAGACGCTGTTTGAATACAACTGCTGCAAAAATTTTTTTAAGTAGACGGAAACTTAGGGAAAGGATTATATCAGAAGATTTCAGCTATTACGAAACACCTACAGGACTTTCCAAATGTTCAGTTTTTGAGTATTTTTTCGTTTTTTTTTT